GCTGCAGTAGAGAGGTTCCCCTCACCAATGTCCCGCTCCACTTTCGTCTTCCTGTCACCCTCCGATTCCACCACTTCCTTAAGCACTTCTTCCTGCCCTTCCTTTGGCTCCTTCTCTTTCTCGGGATCCACTAGGTCAAGAAAAGGTTCAGTTAGCTGTACAGCTTCACTTCTTCCTGGATCCCTATTTCCCACCTTGAGAGGCTCACCTACTGGATCCCCATCACTCTTCTCGGATTCCTTCTCACTGTCCCCTTCTTTCCCTTTCTCTTCATCCTTCTTAGGAGCCTCGGTTTTCTCCTTTGTTTCTTCTTCTGTAGCCCCTCCTCCTTCTCTGGGTTCCTAAACATCCCAGTGAGAGAAAAATAGGGCAGCTAGTCATCATACCAGAGATGAGCCTGGGAGCAGAACTCCTGCCTCTTCCTTGAGAGGTGACCTGGTTCCAGGAGACAAGACTCCCACCCAAGCCCCATCCTAGTCTGCCTGAGTGGAATTTGGCTAGCACCCCCATTACTGTGATCCAAGCCTGGCCCCTTCACCCTCCAGCTGTAATTAGTCCCTCTATACCTTGGGCTCCTTCTTCTCATCTGTGGCCTGGCCCTCTGTTCGAGTCTCGTCGGTCCCGCTCTCCTCTGGTCCCATGGGGAAAAGAAATGGGAAATGGCTGATACAGAGTCTGTCTCTATTGCGCTTCCGCAACAGTCCCTTCCATCATCATATATCCTAGTGTGAGGAGCAATAGGGAGCCACAGTTCCTATTCTTGTAGGAAAAAAAAAATTACCAACCCTCCCTATCCGTGTTGGGCTCTGATGCCAGCTTGAGGCAGGCTGGCACATAATAACCAGATGGCTCTAACTCTTGGTGAAACAGACAGCAATCTGAGAACTTGCCCAGCCTTACCGATCCGCTCAGGCTCATCAGAAGTGGTTCCTGCAATGCCGCTGCTTTCCAGACCAAAGGCTGGGTCTGCCTTGCCTGTCACTTTGGCTGCTTCTTCCACTTTGCGGACATGGGCCTCCACCAGAGCTGTGGGAACCTCTTCCTTCATCTTGGAGAATTCCTCTGCAAGACCCAGGAAGGATGAGCTAGGAGCAGGGCAGGTAGGTGGTTCTGGATCTCCAGGAGAAGGGCTTGCAAGCCCTTCTCTTCAGCTAAGAACATTCTGGAGCTAGATACATGCCAGGCCAGTGGGCAAACTTGGGGGGATTTCAAGGTCTAGATAACTAACCCTTCAAATGCAAACCAAGAAGGGCAGGACCCCTCCACGTTACCTAGGGCACGTTACCTAGGGCAGACTTCGCAGCAGCAGAGGCGACTCTGGGATCGACGACAGAGGCTAGGAAGGCAACAGTGCTCATGACAGGGTTGCCTGACTGACTGAAGGGGATTGGCTGGTAGGCCAGGGGGCCCAGAGAGGCCTCTGAGTCCTCCAGGTATGGGTCTTCAATAGGAAGACGAAGGAAATGCAAGATGCACTCGTCCTGCGTGCGGCTTCCCACATGTTCTGACACTTTGTTCCAGTCATCTTTATACATTTCCAGTGCCTGGTGGTAGTGGTGGAGACACAACTCTGCTTACTTAGCCATTTTCCTCAAAGGTCCACCCCCTTAATCCACTAGGGCAACTTGTATCAAAGCACTCTGTTTTGGTATTTGTGTACTATGCTAGGCTCAAGTAGAATCTCCAAGTGTATAAGATGTGATAATGGAATTAGTTCATGAAATGGCCCAAACGCTCAACCTGGAGGTTCTCTCTGAGGCAAGGTGGGAGGGCAGTGGAAAGGGCAAATATGGGTACAATCATATTCCACTCAAGTGTGGATGGCACCCTAACCAATTGTGTTCACAGAACTTTCCCTTTCCTTGCATTAACTGATTACCTCTAAGAGTAGCAGGGTCTCCTGTTCTGTCCACTCACGAGTGGCACTGGCTGCAGCTTTGCTCTGCAGGGGAAATAGGTAGGTCAGGTGCAAGGAGCAGATGATTTCTGAGGAGCACAGGCTCTCTGGCCTGTGAAGTCATCTCAAATCTCTATACCTTAGAAGGGACATTCTTCTTGGTGTACATGTCGGTGCGCAGCCCAAAGTTCTGCATGTCTGTTGGTTTCTCTTTGCTTTTATCAGGAAAGTTGAGCATTTGCTGGGAAGCAGAGGTCTGCTATATGTGGAGAGGAAAAGAAATCGGTAAGCACCAGTGATTAAGTGGAGCCAGGGGCAGACAGAGAGAGAAAACAGACAAGGAGCTTTTTTCCCAAAGCCAAGGACACCCATGGGTGGGACTTCTTCCCTTACTGCTGCAGCTCCTCTGCTCTCATGTCTGTGCTTCCCAGGCAGGGGCCCCCCAATAAAGGGGCAAATAAGCCCAGCGGGGTCTACACCCCACCTACCAGCTCTGGCTTGCCCTTAGCCGTCTCTGGCACCAGGTCATCCAGCTCTTTGCCCTTTCGCCCAGCCTTGGTATCAGCATCAACCTGGCGGCCCTGGGGGACAGAGCTTGGCGTCATAGAGGCTGGGCAGAAAATGACCAGGCCAAGGCCATGGAGGCCTAAAGACCAAATGCTAGGCAGCCCATAAGCTCCAAGAACACTCATGCCACTGTTCATGTTCCCTTAATAATTAGTAAGGTGAGGAGCTGGCATGATATCCGCTAGTATTTACATTCATCTTTACAAGTTCTCTTGGGAGCTGGACCACTAGGTTCTAAGCCTAGATTTGGTTTTCTGTGACCTTGGGCAAGCCACATAACTTTTCTCCTCTTAAATTTTATAATGTATGAAATGGAAGTGGAAAAAAAATGGAGGTGATAGATAATTATGAGGCAAAAATGAAAAATGTTGGACAAAGTTAAAATTTCATGCAAATTCATTTTAAATAATTTTTTTCTCTCTGCTCCTACATTAGCCTGTCTGCTCATTCTCTAAAAATCTTCACAGCCTTAGGTACATAGACTGAGAGAGGACACTAAACACATGGGGCTGACTCCTGTGGCCCTTGGATCCCAACATAAAGGAAGTCTCAAAACACTCCTGAACCACTCCCTAAAAATCCAGGAAAAGAAAAGTCCAAAGAAGCCCAACTGTATCCCAGCCCTACCTTGCCCCACAGTCCCTCACCCTACCTGTGGGGTCTTGGGCTGCAGAGGCACGAGCCCTGAGGGTGTGTCCGCCAAGACATGGAAGTGAGAGGTGGGCGGAGGCCCCATTGGGGTTGGTCGGCTCTCAGCATCCACCTGGTAGTTAATAAGCCCCCACTGTTCTAGGAAGGCATGAACTCTATGAGAAGAGAAACAGAGACAGGGTCACAGGAGATAGCAAGAACTGGATGTGACAGTGTACATGAATGAAACACAATGAATGAGTGGATGAAAATTAATTTAAAAGGAAAAGTATGTGAAGAGGAGGGCTGGAGGTGGCATAGAGCTCCCATTTCCTTGAGCCTCTTCTCTACTCATTCTGTTTCTTGGGAAACCTCACTGAGTCCCATTGTTCACCACCATCCTAAGTGCCAGTGTTACCTAAATCTCTCCAGCATGGACAGTGCTCTAAATCCAAATGCCTGCTAAATAGTTCTTTTTGGACATCTTCTCAATTTGAAGAAGAATATTTTTCAATTCTACCCACTGCCAGCAAGTCGATTCTAATCCACGACAACTGCAGATGTTTTAGAGTAAAACTGAGCTTCAAGGGTTTTTTTGTTGCAGTTTGTTTTTTGTTTTCAGTTTTGTGTTTTATTTATGCAAAAAGTTCAGGCCTTGGATGTATATTTCCACAGTGGGTCTAGGCGCTAGTTTTGCTGCTGCTTCTTGGTCTTCAGGTTCTTCTGGTGCTTGTTGAGCCTTCGGCACATGGCATGTATCTTCTCGGGCCACAGATCCAGGGGTTTGAACCTCTCGCCCTTACAGTATTTTCTGAGGTTCTCCTTCTCAGTCTGGTTAATAACAGTGTGAACATAGGCAATGGACTTTCAGGCAGCTCAGACTTTGGAGAGCTTGGAAGCTGCCTGTCACTTTGGCAACATACAGCTGGAAAAGCTCCACCTTCACATCGTCCAGCTGTTTAACAGCTCCTCCTCCTTCTTGCTGTGAAGGTCCCGAGCCCTGATTATGGCCACGGCTGAGTGACAGAACCTTGTTTTGCTGCCTGATCCAGGCCAAGAGAATGAAGCTCCATCGGGAAGAAAGTGGCTTCATCGGGCTTTATGGAGCTGTAATCTTATAGAAATAAAGCATCACACCTTTCTTCCATTATGCCATTGGGTGGATTTGAACCTGGTTAGCAGTCAAGTATAAAATATTGTATAAAGAAGAGCAGCTATTACACTGTACAGTGTAAAGACGGAATGCAGGAGCCAGACTGCAGGGATTTAGATCCTGCTTAATAGTTTTGCGACTATGAGTTGAGCAAATTAACCCCTCTAGGTCTGAATCTATATATCTATACTACATATCTGTTCCTTCTTTCTCCTTTACTCCACACTTGAGAGAACATAACGGCCATTCTCTCAAGGAGCTTATATCTAAACCTATACTTTGCCTTTCTCTAGGTCTCTCCCTAACCAGTTCATTCCCTAGATTTTTTACTAACATTTCTATTTCTGTTAAGAGAGATCTGTGGGCAAATATCCCCTCTGCCCTCAACCACAAGGCCTACCTCATGATGGCACAGACATCACCCGCCAGGTTCCTGCGGCAGGCAGTGGACGTTAGATATTCTTGGGGATTTAGTCGGTAAGTGTCAATCATGAAGTTTCGATAGGCCAGGTAGCTTAGAAAAAAAAGAGAGATGAGTAACAAGAGGATGAAGTAAATGTTCTCAAGGGTTAAAGAGTAAGAAGAAGGAGAAAAGAACTAATACCTACAGTGTTGATTAAAAAAAATCATTGAACTAAATAAACATTCAGCACCTACTGTGTTAGATGAAAAGGATTTAAACATTTCTTACATTTTCCTTGCTGAGGTGTTTTAGTTAAATTAATTCATCAAATAGTTGTACTTTTAAATTCTTTTTAATTAATGTCTTACCCAACTTCTGATCAAGAAACCAAAGGGTGCTATTATTTCCAAGCTCATATGTTGAAGGCAAAAATCTTCACGCATGTATAACATGCAGGACATGACAGAAAGAATAGACTGTTTTGCTGTTTTTTATATATTGTTTTGCTCACAAAGTTCATATACATTGTGTTTCACACTATTCTTGTTCATATTGTGTTTCATATTGGGGTATTTTTTAAGAAAAAATTGTTTTAAAATGGAAAGATCTAAGTTCAAATCCCAGTTCTAACATGATAGCCTTGAACAAATTAATGAAATTCTTTGAAACTCAAATCACCTCATCTGCAAGATGGAGTGTCTCCTGAAGACTAGAGAGCTTTGTTTTTTGTTAGTTTTTTTTTAACTAGAAAGCCTTGTAACGTACTAGTACCACCACCTAGCACATGTGGGAAACTTAAAAAAAAAAAGAGTAGCTGTTATACTGTACAGTGTAAGACTGAAAGGGTGAGCCTGACTACAGGGGTTTAGAGCCTGTTTAACTTACTATTCATTATTAATAGTTTTGTGACTATTAGCTGAGCAAGTGAGTTAACCCCTCTAGGTCTGAGTCTCCTAATCTGTAAACTAGTAATGATAACAGCATCTACCTTTAAGGATGATGTAGATTAATCTGTCTATATATGACACTTAGGATTGTGTCTGGTATCTTGTAACCTCTCAATAAATGTGGCAATTATCATCATTAACTACTTTATACCAAAAGTACAAAGTAGAGGAACAATTTATGTTGCAGTACTCTTTGTATATTATTTTGACATCATATTGCCTGATTATGATTTGCTTTGCCTCTGAGGACAACAAAGCATCTTTATGCACAACTTCCCCCAGAAGAAAGAAGAGGTGAAAAACTATACCAAACTATAGAAGAAAACACAGTGGGAAAGAGGGAACTGGGGAACAGCTGGGGGGAAAGCTAGTTCTGTTTCCAGGAAGCTTTAACTCAGCACTAATTCTCACCCACAATCTTCTCATACTGGATTTCCTAACCATAGAAAATTCCCAAGTCTTAACCAAAGGCAAGCAGTTTTGGCCTAAGGCAAAATCTTAAAAGGAGATAAAAATTTCTGAGCCTCAAGCCTACACTTTTTATAATACTCCTTTTTCACAAAGCTCTCTCCATCTTCTAATTGAAGGGTTTAGGGTCATCCTACTTCTTCTACTTATTTTTCTATCAAAACATAGTATTTTTTTAAAACTTTTTTAAATTTTATTTTATTATTTGTGTGTGCGTGTACCGTCAAATCAGATCTGACTGGTACAGGAGGAGATTGTCCCTCCTTCCCCGGCAGAGCATCTGGTGGATTCGAACCGTGCGCCTCTGGAATTGCAGTGCAGCTTCTTGCCACTAGGCCACCAGAGCTCCCCTCAAAACATAATCTTAAGGATCAGTATTACAACAATCATTTATACTTTAGTTAAAGCTATTACTTGTGTTAGGGATATTTGCATTTTAGACAATTTTCAATAATTACTTGAAAGACTCTTGAGGTCCTACAGTAGATTATTTTTAATGTGTACAGAAGAGCATGCTTAATATCAGCCCTGAGCAAATCCTCCATGCTACTGCAGTCAAAGTTCTGGGCTGGAACGGCCTAAGGACAGAGATTTATTATGTCTTTGCAAGCCTAACATAGCATCTGGTCTAGAACAGTGCCTGGCTCACTCAAGAAATGTTTGCCAGACTGAAGAAATGTTCCTGGGTCAAGAAAGGTGAGTGGTACCGGAAAAAGAAAAAAAGCCATGAACCTGAGATTTCCTTACATTTCTGGAGTCTTGGACTTGTTCTTGCCATTAAAGAACTCAGGAAGTGCCCTCCGCTCAATGGCATGAACGCTGCAAAAGAAGCCAGAATAGAGTAAGTAGAATCCTGGTGGAGAAGTGGGAGCCCCAGAAGGAGGAAACACCTGAAAGGTGGGATGGGCTGTTATCTAGAGACTGCAGGAATCACCAGACTCATAGACTCAAAAAAAGATGAGGAGCTCATCTTAAACTGAAGTGTATCCTGGAAGAAAGGACTTATTTGCAGGAATGGGGAGGGATAAGCTGACCCCTGAAGTAGGGAAAGAGGACTCAGAGTGGAGGTGAACCTTCAATACCTGTTGTAGTCAAACCAGGCAGCATAGCTGGGGATGATGATATGATGTGTCTGTTCGGTCACATTGTCCTCATGCAGGTCTGGATTCTTGGTCTGCTCTCCTTTGTTCCCAGTACTGTTCTCATCCTCATCCTGCAAGTATGAATATTGTTGACCACTCAGCATTTCCATTTTCCCCCCAGGCACCTTCTGCTTCACATCCCAGGAATGTGGGCAGTGAAGATGAGTAAAGGGAATGGACAATTACGGCCCCAGGGTTCTGAAAGAGCCCAAGTTTTAGGTAGTAAAATTAATTAGTCTAGGGTGGGAACTCTCTTGAGCAGTGGAAAGTTCTGGGCAGGAGGAATTTAATGATCATAAATCAAAATCACACAGAGAGGTAGGCCTCTCTAAACTGGCTCCACCTTGCCGGTAGTCTCCATGCTTTCATCTTCCTGTTCATCTGAAAGAGAAAGACAGTAAGAGGTGAGTCTGAGAGGAAAAATCCTACTCAAAGTCCCATCAGTTTGGGGAAAGGAGGCAGCTAAGGCCTTCTCTGCTCCAGGCTCTGACTTTCTCACCCTAGAGGCTCCCTCTCTTACCCAGGTCCGTCATGGTGCCTCCTTTGACTGGGGCTGACTCTGAGTCCTTTTTCGTGTTGACTGCCAGAAGAGAGTCACTTTATGAGACAAATTCTGCCTAAATCAAGCCTTCAGTTCTTCACTTTTAACAACTCTAGAGAATTTAGTTGCTTTGAACACTTTATCCATTTGATAACAAAATATAGTATCTTCCACCAGTCACATTCCCTGCAGGGCTTGAAACTCACTTGCTACTTTCTTCACTTCTCCAACCAAAACCTTTTACACCATTAGCAAGTATCTTACTTCTACATGTACATTCACACATCATTCTGGTCTTTGGTAGACCCTTTTCTCCATCTCCATGTCTGTAAGCTCTTAATAGACTGATTTTGACCAAATTGCTCTGTAGAGTAGCCAGATCTCCAACATTTTTGAAAACAGAAGAACACTTTCTTCAAATGAATTCACATGATAGGTCAGGGGAAAGCCTGGAGACATCAAAGCTGCTCTGACTGATGAGGAGGTAGAAGACCAGAACTCCTCCCACCCCTGAAAGACATTTCTGGGACACCTGGAATAAGCCAATGCTGAGAAGCAATGATCTCATAAGTGGGGTGCTCACAAAGAATGCACAAGATTATCTACCAGAACACAGAAACAGACTATTAGAACTTCTCTTTGTATTTGTTTCATAATTCTATCCTTTAACTTTTTCTCTTTGCAGATGTTTTGTAATGTTCCTAACATATTGCACTGTGGTGCCACACAGCCTGGAGGGAGTTGCGCTGGTGGATTCAAACCACCAGAGAGACGCTGCCTTTGGCTTAGCAGTACAACTTGCAAATCTTCCAGTGGCTCCTTGGGAGAAAACGGGCAAGCTCTGTGAGTATGATTCCTGACCTCTGAAAAACTGCTGGAAGGTCAGCTATAAGTCAGTTCTGAGTTGATGGCAGTGAGTTTTTAATTTATTTATTTATTTTTATTATATTATTTTTACGTGTATTGTCAAATCAGATCTGACTGGTACAGGAGGGGATTGCTCCCTCCTTCTCCAGCAGAGCATCTGGTGGATTTGAACCGCATACCTCTGGGATTATGGTGCAGCGTCTTGCCACTAGGACACCAGAGCTCCCTGAGTTTTTAATTTTAAGGTACTGATATATTACCATAACCATTACCATGAAGTTAATTCCAACTCATGGTGAATCCACATAGGATTTTTTTTTGGCTGTAATCTTTCTGGCAGGAGCCTTGGGGGTGGTGTGCATAACACATGAGGCTACGAACTGAAAGGTACACAGTCTGAGTCCAAAGCTACTCTATGGGAGAAAGGTGGTTTCTTCCTATAAAGATTTATAAACTTGGAAACCCAGTGGAAAGTCCTTATGAATAGTCAGCAGTGGGTTTGGGGGTTTCTTTTGTTTTAATCTTTACAGAAGCAGATAACCAGGCCTTTCTTCCACAGTGCTACAGATGGGTTTGAACCACCAATCTTTAGTTTTAGTAACACAAAAACATCAACATATAGGGAGTTCTGTTGGCCTAGTGGCAAGAAGCTGCACTGCAGTCCCAAAGGTGTGCAGTTCAAATCCACCAGATGCTCTGCTGAAGAAGGAGGGACAGTCTCCTCCAGTACCAGTCAGATCCAATTTGACAGTACATACAAAAAAAGTAATAATAACAAAAATTTTTAAAAACAAAAAAAAACAAACTTACTGCCATCAAGTTAGTTCTGACTCTGTGAACGCATATTGGGTTTTTGAGGTTATAAATTGTAAAGAGAACAGACTGCCCATCTTACTCCTAAGGAGCAGCTGGTGGATTTGAACTACTAGAAATAAGTCTGTTGGTTAGCAACATATCTACTATCTGGTGGACTATGCCACCAGAGCTCCCTTATGATCCACAGGGTATTAGATGATCAAATAGGATTTATTTAGTGACTCCAGGGTCAGTCCCTGGAGAAGGACAATGCTTGGCAGAGAGTCAGCAACAGACAGGAAGACCTGCAAGGGGATGAACTGGCATAGTAGCTGCAACACTGAACTCACCACATATAATTTAGTAGTTAAGCACAAATGATATGCACAACTCAGAAACCTGGTAAAATAGAACATATATACAATTTGTGCTCAAATAAGTTTACAGTGGGTTTGCATAGTCAAAACGAATTTAGAGACACCTACTGTCAGGGGCAAATCTAGTCCATAATTCAGATATGAATATGAAATTAAAGAGTTTCATGGTAAGGAAATAATTTTCATAGTAAGCTAAGTTTAAGGGAAAAGATTTCTAGATTTGGAACTGGGTCTGGGAAATCCATCTAGCCAGATGCTTTGGCAAAGCAAGGACAAGACAAGGAACGGGAGTGGGCCCTAGGAATCTGGCCCGGCCCGTACCTGTTTTGGGTAATGTCACCTCTTCTACGTTGGGGACAGGTGAGGGCTCATCCATATCTTTTGTCAGGTCTTCCTGTTCCTCTTCTCTGTGTCCACGCTTTGACTTGGTATAAGGTGTGGAGGGACTAAGATGGAGAAAGTGAAAGAGGACTCAGTCATCTTTGGTTAAGGTATCCCTGGAAGGTGATATTTAGTGGAAGAGAAATGAAAACCCCAAGGCTAGGGCTGAACATACCCAGAAAATAGTTGTTACAGAGTATTGGGAATAACAGCTTTTCATTTGAAGTTTTAGCTCTGTACACAATTAGTACACAATGTCTGGGACAGACTAACTAATTGAGCCTTAAAGAAGGCCTCCTGCCCTCCCTCCCTCAGGACACCATGTCAGGGCATTGTTTGATATAAAGGGCTCAGTCTTTCCTTCCTCCAACATGGTGCCATACCCTTTCTTAGCATTCTTTTTCTTAGCCTCTGGAGTAGGTGAAGGAGAGGGGGAGCGCTTCCTCTTCTTATAGTTCCCCCCTTTTTTGTCCCGTCGGTCCGAATCTGGGCTATTTACCTACAGTCCAGAGAATTAGGACAAAAGTCAACCAAGAATTCTCAGCAAAGCCATGTCCCAAAACTTATACTAATGGCTAGAGGAGGAAAGCAGAGAGATTTTCACCTCATCTGTCAGAGTCTTGGCTGAAATCTTTTTTCGGCGGGAGACAGGGTTTTTGTCATCATTTACTTCGTAGTCCTCCTCATTCATCCACTCATTGAACGTGTCTGTATCCAGGATCCACTTTGCATGAATCTGAAGCACAGAGGCCAGCAATGCGGTGTTGGAGAGGAGGCAGGAATCCACAGCTCTGCCTCACCTCCAACGCATGTGTAGTCCAGGTTACCTACCCTGGGCAAGAGGACAAGGAAAGCTCACCTTCCTAGGTTTCTCTGGAGTCGGAGCATCCTCCACAGAAGCTTCAATTTCACTGGCTGGGATCCATGTGTCATAACTGCCACAGGAAACAGAACATGAAAAAGAATCAATGGGGTAAAGCTGTAGAGTATAAGTCTTTTCCCTTTTCTCAGTTACAAAAAGTATTAAGTTGTTTTGGTATAATTTCCCTCCCTCCCAATAATATTGGAATTTTTTTTATTATAAAGCAGTAAAATCACAAAACAAAAATTCCAAAAATTAAGAATTATCTCTCATCCTATCACCTACCTAAACATAACTTTTTTCCTTACTATAAACATACAATTAATAATTTTATTTCAATTGTATTCACATGTACAGTGATTTTATGTGTTCATGACACTGTTCAACCATCATCTTCATTTCTGAATTTTTCCATGACCCTTAACAGATGCTCAGTATTAAAGCATCTATTCTTTTTTTTTATTTTTCTGTCATCTTTATT